GAAAACGCGTCTATCAAACTGAAAGAGTTATACAATGTAGTTAAATTTTACAAGTTGTTCTTCCATTAGCATATGATTTATTTAAGTCAGAAATTTTTTTAAAGTTAATAAGTTAATAGAGAAAGGATTTTGTATGCACTATTACCAATTTAATTCTCTCAACTTTACAAAATTCATACCAGGTACTTAGGTGCAATGACGTATCCATTTGTGTATGAATATTGTGTAATCTACGTGCATTGTGCAATGTACAATTCAACTGTTCCAGATTTCTTTTCTTTCCTTAGATCAATAATACTGATAATTAAAAAATCCTTGAAGTTTCTGACGTTATTTTAGTTGTCTCTATTTGCCCTGCACTATCTAACATACGATGACTATCGATATAGGATAATTTCTAACTTATGTCTTCAATTAACAGATTGTTTGTGAAGAGTTGTGTTACTCGAAACGAAAAAGTCAAATTAATTTACTTCTTTGAATGGGTTTTTCACCGGATTTGTATATGATCAGAGTCAACAGATTTTTAAAGAAGGGCTTACATTGCAGAACTTTGCAGGATTTTGCTGTTTATTTACAGATGTATCTGTAACAACATGTATGTTATGACTTTCTATATAGAAGGTTGTTGCTTACAATGAAGCTATAAAAACAACAGTTGCAAGTGGTGAAATTGAAATCATCCTTTCGAATGTTTTATGGACACGATGACAAGTTGGCTGACCATTATGGAATATCTGTTTCACAGAGGACGATTGATATGTTCTAATTGTCGTAACCGCAATCACCTCATCTTTTCTTCGAATGTGACCTACCCAATCAGACTTATCACCAGGTGTGTACTTACATCAGCAACATGAAGCGTGCCACACGTGGAGCAGGATCAGCTTACCCTTCCAAAGCACATAGGATCAACCCCAGTTTTTGGTGCGGTTCGTGTTGCTCAGTTTTTGGTGTTCTATGTTGTGTTTTGTAAACTGTGTCTTAAGCTTTTCATCGTTTTTCTTTTTTTGCCATGGCATTGTCAGTTTGTTTTCGACAAATGAGATTGAGTGTTCCTTTTGTATCTTTCGACTCTCTTTTATACTGTGGTAGGATTATCATTCTGCAAATAAGTTACTAAAAAATATTGTTTTTATGGTTGTTGTTAAAGTCTTTTTGTCCCCTTGACATGTATGTATACCCCACAACTCTTTTAATGCATAGTATAACAGTTTCTCCTTAGTTTTATTATTCGAAGATCTTAAATAAAAACTTCAACTTTTTGCAACAATCAGCCCTCCCAACACAATAACGTCGATGTCGTAGTAATCTTCTTTATTCATAAATATCTGTTTACAGTGTCCTTCATACCAGCTAACTTCGGCTTACTTTGTATTTTATTGTTATTCTAACTGTAATGAACAGCACATGCTTGTTTAAGGCATGTTCTCTCATGTTTTGGACCCAGTTTCTATATCATACAAAGGATTTAATGATCGATTGGTGTTTGGTTAACGTCAATGTTTTAGATAAGGAATTAGAGACTCGAAATCATCGTATATTCGAAGGTCGTCCAGATCTGTACGAATAGAATCGATATTCAAAACTAAAAATTCTTATTTACATTCCATCGAGACAACAGGGTATTATTAATTTTTTGTCACGCTACGTAATAAATTATAAACTTACATTTTACTTTAAGAGCAATAGTTACTGATCCAATTCCAATGATATTCTCTGCTTTACATGTGTAGTTTCCACTGTCGTATCGACTGACTGTCTCAATTGTGCAACAAGTTTCTGTAACATAAGGTGTAACCGGAATTTCCTGACTTCCATTCAACCATCTCGTTGACGTGATTGCTGTATTGCTATCAACAAAACAACAAAGTTTCGTCGTTTCCCCTTCATTCATTTCTTCAATCAAATCATGCATGATTGAAACCACTGGTTTATCTATTTAAAACGTCAAAAATAAACCAAAAATAACCAAAAAGGTTGTACATAGTTTTATCATCATATACTGTAAATGAAGTTGTTTATTCGTACAGTTAATATAGGATAATATAACAGAAACAAAATACTGTTTTCTAGACACTTCTTTCAACAGTAGGTAACAAATATTACGATCATTATCTCTGCTAAAGAAATGATAGACATTATATTGGAATCCAAAAGTGCTTTAAGTACACACAGGATCTGAGCAGCCAAAGTGACAAAGTTTACGTCAGAATGTATGCATTTGTGTACTACTTTGTAAGTATGAAGAATGAAAATACAGAGGAGTATGGGTAGTATTTAAAAGCAGTATTTTATTTTCAAAAAGATGTTCTTTTAGAAGTCATAGGTTAGTGAAGTGAAATATAAATACATTTAAATGGATTTGAACATTTGTAACTACTGTTGTCTTAATTTAACACATTATGTGTTTGATGTGTGTAATAGTCTTTTTTGCTACTTTATATTTTCAATGTCCATAAATGCCTGCTTCTCTTATATTTATTTATTCAAAACTTACATTTTACTCGAAGAAAAGTCATTATTGATCCTTTTCCAATGATATTCTCCGCTATGCACGTGTAGGGTCCTTGGTCGTATCGACTGACATTGTTAATTGTGTAACAAATTTCTGTAACATTATGTGTAGTCAATATTTCCTGACTTCCGTTGAACCATCTCGTTGATGTTGGCAACGGATTGCTTTCAACATAACAACAAAGTTTCATTGTTCCACCTTCATCTATGTCTTCCGTAAAATTCTGCATGATTGAAACCTCTGGTATGTCTAATTGAAGCAACATATATGTACGGAAAAAATTAAAAAGAGGTCAAATATTATTAAATATCACCCGTTTAGATTATCATAAATCCTTTTCCATCTTGACACTGCCATATCATTTTTGTCGTCGGGTGATACCAAGGCCGATATGGAAAATGACATCTTATAATCAATTGATCAAATATTTTTGAAACGAAGTGGAGAAATTCAAATATTTCTTAAGCAAGATGCAATAATGTTCGTTTCCTCCCCTGTAATATTTTTTATCAAGTCCAAAATAGTTTCAAATCGTCCTTGAATACATGTAATATAATGTCATTGTTATATTTTCTTTTAATATTGGTGTTCTTTATTTCTTAAACAGATTTTGTTTCAATTTTGCCCTCCGTTTTGGCAAAATGAGGATCTTCTTCGTCCACCACTTTTGTTAGGAACGTTGTGGCTCTTTCTATACTTTTGATTTCTTTTTGGTTTATAAGCTTTTTATTTATTTATTATTCTTTTGATTAATTTTTTATTTTTAAATAGTTTGGCCTCGAGCATCACTGAAGAGACATTTATTGTGGAAATGCTAATCTGGTGTAGGATAATGACACCATTAATGTTATTCGGCGTCATCGAGAACGGCTGAAATAATTGGTTATTTGCACCAATATATATAGATCTACTGTTATTAAATATGCAAAACGAAATGTTTTTGTAATAAATATGTGATATTTGAATTTTTAACTGTATTCAGACAGGATAATATATCGAAATGATATACTCGTTTTATGCAGGTTCTCGCTTGATTTATTATCAAGTAGCCTATATCATACGACTGATTGATTGATCTCCACATGGTTAGCTTCTAGTTCTACTATCACCGGGTTTGTACTAACAAGAACTACAAGAAGGTACAACATGTGCAAAAATGAAGACGACAAAAACACACAAAATATTTCAAAAAACTACACAGAAAACAAACTAAAGACTGATCAACATTAGCCCCACACACAAAAACAATGATTATCTTATGGGTTTCGGAAGGGTACAAAGACCTTTCTTTCCCAGTGAAACCAATCATGTTGTCCATTGCAAAAAGAAGCCAAAAATATAAAGGGAATTGTTTTACATTTGTCATTTCGGGGTCTTTTATGGCTTACTATGCTCATGCGGTATGGGTTTGCTTATTGTCGAAGATCGTATGGAGACCTATATTTGTTAACTTCTACGTCATTTGGTCTAAGGTGGAGAGTTGTCTGATTGGCAATCATATCACATCTTCTTATTTTTATATACAATATGTACAGACAGAATATCTAGGAGCACATTAGTATGTTTGGTTAAGATTATTGTTCGCAAAAAATCTGTTGGTCTGTGCAGCAGTTACAATCTACTATTATGCGGTATATATTTATCGGTGCATTCTCCACACTACTGCTTCACGTGTAGCTTATATGTAATTATAGCAACTATGTCCATGTGTTTGGGATGATTTTTAATTAAATCCTTTTGTCATTATAAATTATTATTTTAATTGCACATATTACCTTATATTTAGAAACTAGGTGTCTGTTAAAAAAAGAAATGTAGATTGGTCGTTTTAGCATCTTATTGGTATTGTATCCGTATACGGTCTACTTACTATAAATTATACAATTTACTATTTGAATTATTTGCGGTAGTTTTATTTCCAAGTTCAACATCTTAATTGAAAAATGGCGAATTACAAAACTACGTATACTGCAAAGAAAATGTTTTTGTTGACAGCAGTGTGTGTTGTAGTCTATGCTGGAGTCGCACCTTCTACACACTAGTCACGTCTGACGCTTTCCCTCATAAGTAATTCGATCATATGTCTTGAATAATTTGGAAAATATTGTCGTTTCAGATGATGATATTGACAGCAAGAATACAGCATTTGAATAAGGAATAACATTTAAAGTCTCTCCTTGCTTTTTAAATTTTACTTTCCACTATTCATTTTTATACATGATTTCTACTTTGGATTAAATAACACAATAAAAGGGGGAGAGATATAAAAACTAAGGCGTTAAAATGTAATATTCCCATAATTTTAAAAATTTCAAAGATTACTGTAAAAACAATTATGATATACAGCCATATTGCTCCATTAACTTATTTCAAATTTTATATTAACAATATAGATATAACTGAAACTTAATGAATGTATAGAAAATCAGTAACAAATAGAATAGTACATATAAAATTGAACACCAATATCTATCCTAAATAACAAACCCGCAATTCTAATTCTATAAAACTGAAAAAACACCATATCATGGCTTTTTAGAAACATTAAGCGAATACGCATTTACCTTAAAATGATCTTTTGAAAAATTAATTGTTTTAACACTGCTACATTTTGTATGTGCTTGTCTCACTTCAGGAGCCTGTTATTCAGGGGTTGTCGTTTGTTGCTGATTATCAGGCCGTTAGTTTTCTCGTTTGAGTTTTTTTTTTTTTTACATTTGTCATGTTGGTGCCTTTTATGGCTTGCTTTGAGGTTTCGGTTTTCTTTATTGTTGAAGGCCACATGGTGGCCTATAGTTGCTACGTTATATTGTGTCTGTTGGTTAGCTGTCTCATTGGAATTCTTACCACATTTTCTTTTTTTTTTTTTTCTTTTTTTTTTACACGGATTCTATGCATGTATGTACAAATATGAAAGTAAACCAATTCTTCAAAGCCAAGTTTGGAAGTCATTTAAAGAGCAGAATTACGTTAAAAGCTTTTCTATACAATATTTATGTTTTGGTCATGTGTAATATTTTGTCATGCTACTTTTTTTGAATGTCAATGTCAATTTGTTAATTTTTCGTAAAGTAATAATGCACTTACAATTTACTTTAAGAACAATAGTAATTGATCCAATTCCAAGGATATTCTCTGCTATCCATGTGTAGTTTCCACTGTCGTATCGATTGACGCTTTTGAATGTGTAACAAGTTTTGTTAACATTATGCGTAACCGATATTTCCTTGATTCCTTTCAACCATCTCGTTGATGTTGGTGTTGGATTGCTATCAACAAAACAACAAAGTTTCTTCTTTTCACCTTCACTTATTTCTTCAATCAAATCCTGCATACTTGAAACCAATGGTTTATCTATTTAAACATGTTGAAACGTCAAAAATGTGCAAAAATAACAACAATGGTTGTAAATTTTTTTATGACGATATATAGTGAATTAAACTGTTAATGTGTACAGTAGAGTTTTTAAATAACATAACAATTTTTATATGATTTGCATATCACAAAAATTTGTGATTGGTCCGTTAGAAAAGTTTTCCTTGATTTACACTTCGATAGCCCATGTTCCTGAAACTACTTTCGTTACCTATATAAACACTATGTCGATTTAAATGGGAACTATTCGTGCGCGTAACACATGCATGGGATTCTGTGGTTTCAGAAAAATTGAAATTGAATTAAAACTACAGAGTTGTTTAACCAATTATAATGCATAACAACAAAAGTTATTGCATCAAAGCTTGGTAAAATGTATAAAATGAAAATCAAATAAATGTCAGCGAAATTTCATGAATGATCTTGGCGAACTAACTTCATTGCAAAACATGACGTCAAACGAATGAAAAATCTAAAGCTGAAGGTTATTCCGTTTCTATTTTGATAATGTAGCATTAGAATAACGTTTTAGAAAAGGATATTGATTCATTTTCAATTATATTACACTATTCGAACATGTATGTATTTTAGCAAGTCAATATTGCGGCTCACTCTTTAGTTACGACGTGTTAACTGGGATTTGACGGCTAATGAAAAATTGTAAATGTTTTCGCTCAGAATTATAAGGATTAAACACATTTTTCATTAGGTTATTGATGTGTAAACTAGGTCGCTGACTCAAAACTTTTTTGAATTAATCCACCAAATTTACACATCAATAATCTCTAGAAAAATATTATTTTAACTTCATTTAACATGTTTAAAATCAGGTAGCTAATATTACCATCATTATCGTTCTTACGAAATAAGTGACGTTATATTGGAATCCAAAAGTACTTTAGTATGTGATATGTGCAGCCAAAATTGAAAACGTAAGAATGTATGCATTTGTTCACAAATATGTTAGAAATATCATATTTTAAAAATGAAAGAACAGTGCACTTCTGATTCATTGTTTAAGCAGAATTTACAAAACGATTCTTGTAGAAAATCTAATGAATCGGTTATTAAAAAGTAAAATATAAATATTTGATTTAACGGTGGTAAATTATTTTGCATAAGTTTAAAATCCATTATGTCTTTGTCTTGTGTAATAGTTTTCTTTAAGCTTTGTACTTAATGCTTTCAATTTCCATATGTGTGTGCTATTTCACATTTAAGAAATCTCTGTATTACTGAAAAATTATTACACCAGGGTTTTCGATATCACAAACTAGTCAAAACATTTACTAAATTTTATCATCGGTACAAGGACATCATTCGTAAATATAAATAAACATGCAGACATCTTATACGTTCAGGTATTTCACATCCAATATTGTATGGTAATATTCTTTACAAAGCACAAAAATGTCGGCATTCACCTCAAAAGCTAACCAAACCTTTAAACAGACTTATTCGGAAAGGATATAGTTACGATACTATTGTCAAGTCATTAAGGATTGCATATTTTGGTATTAATATTGATTCACTCATAGGGTCTTTGCATCGGAATTAAACACATTTATTCTAAAACCAATTTTTGGCATGATTCGGGATATGTTCTTCTTATATATTTTATGATGGTATGATACTAAACCCCTAACGGGAGGGATTGTACTTGATTTTCGTATGATGAAGACATAATCTTTCAATCAGTTTAATTGAGGTTTGGAGCTGGCATGTCAGTAACTGCTAGTAGTCCTTTGTTTATTTATGTATCATTGTCATTTTGCATAGTTTCTTTTGTTATCTATTTTGACATCGGACTCGGACTTCTTTTAAACTGAGTTTTACTGTGCGTATTGCTATGTGTCTCTTTTTTCTACATTGGCTAGAGGTATAGGGGGAGGGTACATATCTCACAAAACATGTTTAACCCCGCCGCATGTTTGCGCTTGTCCAAAGTCAGGAGCCTCTGGCCGTTGTTAGTCTTGTATGTTTTTTAATATTAGTTCTTTTATATGTTTTGGAGTTTAGTGTGACGTCCATTTTCACTGAACTAGCACACAATTTTATTTAGGGGCCAGCTGAGGACCACATCCGGGTGCGGGATTTTCTCGCTGCATTGAAGACCCATTGGTGGCCTTCGGCTGTTGTCTGCTCTTTAGTCGGGTTGTTGTCTCTTTGACATATTCCCCATTTCCATTCTCAATTTTATTCGTTCGTTTTCGTGGGAACCAATTTCCGTGAATTCAGGAACAATTGTATTTACGTTGACATTTGATTTCGTGATTGCGCACGCCTATATAAAATGTTTATACCACGAATCATAGTAATCAAAAGTAACTAATTTAAAACTTACATTTTACTTGAAGAACAGTCGTTATTGATCCAATTCCAACGATATTCTCCGCTCTACATGTATATATTCCTTGGTCGTATCGACTGACATTGTTAACTGTATAGCAAATGTCTGTTTTATTATATGCAACAAATATTTCAAGACTCCCATTCAACCATCTCGTTAATGTTGGTGTTGGATAGCTTTCAATTCAACAACAAAGTTTCTTCGTTTCACCTTCATTTGTATTTTCTATCAAATCCTGCTTGATTGAAACCTCTGGTTTATCTATTTGAAGCAACAAAGATGTACCAAAAATTGAAAAAAAATTCTTATTCATTTCACAATTTCAATCTATCATATTCATTGATTATAACCTGTCCTTATCCATACTGTATTAGTCGTTGACTCTCAAATTACACCACACGAGGGTTCACATTTATTGAGGTATGATACCAGACCAAAATGGAAAATGAAATGTTATATTTCTATCACATATTTAACAAATACTTTAAAAAGTTGAAAATTTATCAACAAGATATATACATGTTCGTTTCCTCCACTGAAATTTTTTATTATCAGAGGTCCCCATTAGTTAAAACTGAATAAACAGATAAAAAGGGATTCTAGAATCACCCCAAATACGATATTGGTTGGTGCAGGGTGAATCTAACTTGAAAACTAAAAATATATAATCAAAACAGATGATCCATTTAATTAATGCTTTCCTGTACACTGACGAACTTTTGTTTTTCATTTTGATTAACATAAATTAAAATAATTAACAGCCTGCACAACGGTATAATTTAATCTGAGCTACTACGTATAAATCTGTATGTCGGCGAAAAACGATAAGCATTCAAGGGCCGTCTTGACCTTGTTGTAGGGTATGAATGATTCGTTCATTGTTGAAGACCCTACATCAACTGTCAAGATGAAGAACAGGAATAAAAGCCCTGTTCATTGATAATTTTCTATGTTTTCTATGTTTTGTGTGCGATTTTGTCCCATGTACATTACTCCATATCCTTTCATTTTCAAAAGACGACCAGATGGTCATGTGTTCCACCTCCGATGAAAACAATGTTGAATTATATATTACCTCAATCAAAATACCACACAATGTGTTAGATAAGAGACCACTGGGAGATAATGGAAATGCAAAAGTTACATAAAAACGAACAAAGCAATGTCCTAAAATAATAACCTTCCCTGTTAACAGTATTTTATGCTATATTTTTTATGCACAAGTTACTCGTTCACCAACCAAATCACGTTTGACAGTCCAACTTGTAGTTTATTTGATAATCCTTCTTGCATAACTTAAATAAAAACTATTGCGTTGAGATAATATTTTTACGTCATACTTGAAATTCAAAAGATTTCAGTGTTATCTTTTTTAGTATACTGCTATTTTACTTCATAATCTTCTCACATAGCATGTGTATCATCATGTTCATATTAGTATTACAAATATAACTCAATAAGAAAATAAACAAAAGTATAACAAAATATGTAATACCAATTATACTACATATACAATTGAAAACAACTATCAATCTTCAAAAAAATAAATACCGAAGAAGCAAACATCTGATTTCAAACTATAAGAGCATACCATACCTTTTTAAAAACTTGAAACTCGAAATTATTTACCTTAAAACGACATAACAAAATATCACAGTGCATACATGCATGTGCAAATATTTAGGTAAAGACAACTTTTTAAATATAGAAGTTACGACAAAATTGGAAACTTACGAACGCCAATTTATGACCTAGCAAAAATATATATTTGAATTAGAAATCACGAACGAATTTAAATCGTTATCACGAATTGAAGTGTTCGTTATAACAGATTTAATTCGTGACAATGAATTTCCGAAATAAGTAATAAAACATTATAACATATTTTTGTAATTCATGATAACGGATTAAAATCTTGATAAATTATATAAATCGTTTAAACGGATTAAATTCCTTATCACATTTTTTGTAATTCGTGATAACGGATTAAAATTGTTATAGCAATTATACAATTTTTAGAACGATTTTAAACCGTTATCAAGAATTTAAAAAATCTTTGATAACGAATATAGCTAGTAATCACGAATTACAAAAAAAAATGTGATAATGTTTTACTCGTTATTACAAATTACAAAAACTGTTATAACTTATTCCATAAATTCGTGATAACGAATTTTATTTTGTGATAACGTATTCTACAAATCAAGATAACGATTTTGATTCGCGATATCGCGTTCAAATTATATTTTTGGTAGGTCCTAAATGGGCTTCCGTGGACACTTGGCCATGCACTTATTTGTCATTAGCTAAATGTAAACTTACATTTCACTTTAAGAACAACAGTTACTGATCCACTTCCAATTACATTCTCGGCTATACATGTGTAGTTTCCTTGATCGTATCGAGTGACGCTTTTGATTATGTAACAAGTTTCGTTAACATTTTGTGTTACCAACACTGTCATATTTCCTTTTAGCCACTTCATTGATGTTAGTGTTGAATTGCTATCAAGATTACAACAAAGTTTCTTTGTTTCACCTTCATTTATTTCTTCAATCATATCATGCATGCTTGAAACCGTTGTTCTATCTAGTTGAAACGGAAAAAAACACCAAATATAACATAAAAGGTTACATATAGTTTATATGTATCATCATGTATTGTAAATCAAACTACTCATTTGTAACTTATAAAACCATTATTTTCTTGGTTACGGAATGTTTTAAACTTTATTGGAGTCCATAAGTTCTTCTATAATGTCTATGTACGCCCGTGATATATGAACGGTAGGAACTTGTTAATTCTGTAGAAACATACATTTGATTTAAAATCAAGTGAGTATATCGAAATAGAATAACAGACATTACTATTAAATCTGTATTGAAATGAATACTCACAGAATGAAGGCATACAATAAAGTAGATTCGAAAACAAACTCTTGTTCAAATTCATAATGTATTTTAGAAAATATAACTAGTTTATGAATAAATTGAACTACATGTAGGACTGATTGTTCTGCTGTGTACTGAAATTTAATGTATATTTGGAAGCAAAATGAAGCAGTGTGTACCAAGGGGTCATCATCAACTCAAAAATCGAAATACACTGACAAAGCCAAAGCATAAAAAATAAGACAAATAAACTCCCAAACACTACACAGAATACTAAAGACTTGGCAACACAAGAGGATGAAATTGTGGTTATAACAATTGGAACATATCCGTGGTCTTTTGTGACACTGATATCTCAAGAATGTCAATCAATTTGTGATGGCGTCCGTAAAACTTTCGAAGGGATGAGTTTAACTTTACTTTTTGGAACTCTTGGTTTAATAGCCTCGTTGCAAGCAGCAACCCTCTTCCAGGAAATGAAATCATGATAGGAAACACAAGCTCTGGTGTGACGTATTACTGGGAGAAATAAACTACATATGCAGGTGCTGTTAAACGGTTAATACATGGAATAGAAAGTTCACAATTGGAAACCTGACATCTTGCCATCTATCGAAAAGTTTTGTTATCAACCGACCCTCATTGCCAGTTTTTAGGTGTTAGGAAAGATATGAGGCAGACTTAACTGCATGTGTCTTTTATTTTAAGTTCGATTGGAGAAATGCGTTAAACCTAGTCAAAAAATATAAATTATTTAGTGAGAGGACATTATATATATATCAGAACGTGAAGTAATAGGATAATTATAGTGTCATTAAGGATCATTTATACGGTTATTTTCTGTCAATTTGACACCATATTCAAAATACTAAGGTTTATCTACTCGCGGACATGATCCAGATTTGGTAACTTTTTATCTTAATTGTTACATATCTTGGCCTTTGAACTATTATTATTTTATGAGTATTAAGTAGACGAGAAGTGCGTCTGGGGTTCTTAATTTTAAATCTTGTATCTTTGTTTAGCTTGACACAAACATGCTTTAAAACTATTTGCGAAGTTAACAATCAAAGAATGTTTGCCCCAATTGTATTGCTTCATATCCTCTTAAGTATTTCAGGATTACTATGTTATAAGATAACATTGAAAGGAAGGTGAAGTTGTACTTGTGCATATTGCATTTTTCTACAAGGATCTTTCTCAAATCATCTCCATAGAAATTAAATACAATGATGACATTCAAATGTTTCATATTTATTTTCTATATCTCTCCTTATCACCAAACACTCATAGACGTAAAATTGATGAACATGAACCCATGACAATAAAGATTTATTATGTATTTTAATTACTCAACACAAACGGAATTTACAATCGTTTTGGTTAATTATTACGGACCAATATTAACCATTCAACTGTTACTGATGATCACGATGCTAGCATTCTGACAAAAGATATTAGATATATTAACAATCATAGTCCAAAAATGTTATTGTAACTAATTCTAATAAACATCTATCTTTCTGCTGTCGTTTGTATTTGTTTACTTAAATACGAATGTGGGTTTTTGGTCTACTTAATATTCCGTTTTATGTAGCCTTAGATTGTGCTTCTTTCCTCGCCATAAATTTTCTACTCTAATCATATACAGTGAGTGTACAATGTGTTTAAACTACCCTGGCAAAACATTTTTGGACTCAAACGTATCTAATATCCGGTCAACAGACAGAGAAAAGGTAGGATTTCTGTTTATTTATTTGTTAATTTTAATGATATTGAAGAATATATATATATACATATAACTATTTTCGATTGTGAGAATTTCTATAACCGTTCCAGATAAATGGATAAATAAGTAAAATGGACATCAAAATGGTGAATTGAGTGAACCTTGCCTCCAGTTTGTCACATTGTACGGAAAGAAAGGTACTGAAAGAAAGATATTAACATGGAGATTGCAAGACTTGTCACTTTGAGCACCTCAATATTGGTATTTCTGTGCATGGAACGAAAGAAATGGGTCATGTCAAAATTGAAGGACCCGGTTTTGTTAATGTGTACGACCCGGTTAAGTCAAAAAAGATTCACAAAGCAGGTCCCGGTTTTGTCATATACCAGACAAACATTGAAAATTATTGTAGAGTTTAAGATTATTCCTGACAATCAAATGGTTGAAGTTTGAAGCCGGATTTGTTTTTCAAAATAGAGTTTGGAAAGCACAAAGATAAAATATCACAAACACAGCGATTTCTTATAAACAATACTCATTACACAAATTGAATAACTACATCAATACCAAAACAGAGCACACTATTACAGTCGTGTCTAAATAATGAACTGACGTATCTTAATCTTCTAATAATGATTTTAGTCAGCCAATATAAAACAAAATCTGCTATATTCGACGGCAAATTGAATTTTTGTTTATTGCTTCTTCAGAATATCTCCAGAAGAGGTCCAGATTTTTTTTTTTTTTACTCTTCACCAGAAGACATCCTGGACGTGTACAGAAGAGACCAATAAAACACGCCCCCGGAGTTTGATGGCTCGTTGGAAAAAGATTTCTTTCACATGATAACTTATCATTTTTTTGAATCCGTAAACACTTGAATTCCTACTTTAATGGAACAAAAATGATTTTAATTTTGATTTGTAAAAAAATTATCATCGTTTGAAAATAAATATTCTGAACACTTAATGTTCATTATAAAGCAAGAGAAAAAGACAAATGTATATGCATGCAGAATCGCCCTTGAAATGAATCTCCATGCGGCGCAAAGGATTACAATAATAATGCGTTAAACATCTGTTTACCCTTTGTAACTATTATACTAAGTATAATAGCCATCCAGAAAATAAAATAATGATCATTTACTTAATAATTTTATAAATAAACGGTTATTTTATTTCTCCATTGTGTAATGATTATCGTATATTGACAAATGTGCTACATTTTAGTGACGTTGGTAAATTTCTAATTGTTAATATGCTGTGGCGGATCGACGATTTTTGAAAATAAAACGGATTGTATATCACCGAGCGTAGTTAGGGGATTTTTTTGTGGACGATTTTATGCTAAAAAATAATACATAAATCGTGAAAAAAAACATGATATAATATTTTGTTCTGGCCACCAAAGGGGGGGGGGGGGGTACTCCCTCTGCAACCCTGGATCCGCCACTGATATAATATAACTATATCGTTACATTCATAAAATGTACTAAGAAACGAGAAAACAGATACATCCGCCAACTTTGAGTGCCAGTCGCGCATTTACTATACAGGCTCTGTAATCGAATGAATTAAGCCCTTTTCAAATGATTTTTATAGTTTGTTCTTATGTTGTGCTGTTATACCACTTTTTTGGGCCGGAGTGGCACTAGCACGTTCATTCACGCCATTCTGTATGTGTCAGTCCCAAATCCATGAGCCTGTGATTCAGGTTGTCTTTAATTGCTTTATATCATATTTATTTTTCGTTTTTTTTGTTTGTTTTGTACATAAATCAGGTAGTTAGTTTTCTCGTAAGAATTTTTATATATTTTTCATTTCGGGGCATTTTATAGCTTGCTATGCGATGTGGGTGTTTCTCATTGTTTGATGCCATACGGTAACCTATATTTACTATCTTTTACGTCATTTGGTCTCTGATGGAAAGTTGTTTCATTGGCATTTTTCACGGGATAAATGGCCACTTAGGTTGTTTTAAATAAGACGTTAATATTGTGACGTTAATATGTTGTAACCCAACTTTTATTCACATTGAAAATACATAATTGTAAAATACATTTATTTCAAATGTTAATTTGGAGTTTCCTTGGAATTTGAAATGTGAATTTGGTATGGAAAACATGCGTTGAAAGGCCTACAAAATTAAATGTCCTTACCTGAAAATAGGGGGAAAGTTGAAAATCCCGCAGCTATGTTATGTGAGTGCTCAATTATGAAAATTTGCGTTAGTACGAGTAACACAGAATATATAGTACCAGAAAATATAGCGGGGTTGCATGCATGATTAATTCGTGCAGAATAGTAAAGACTAAAGTATTTTTCTGACTGTCCGTCAATGAATAAATGAATGAGTAAAATTAATGATAGTAAATATATTGTAAACATAGCGTATAGTATAGTAAAGCATACTAGTTTTACTCTTTTGATAAATTGATATGGTGCCATAACCATACCATATCTTCTTATTTTGACATCATTACATACTAGCATAGAAAACAAACAAACATCATAATGTTATAAAAGAATTAATGTAAGTGCATGCTAGACAGTATTTATATTCTATTTAAAATTAGTTCGCAGATAAGTGCAATTATGTATTCGTATAGCATTCGAAAATGTGTACTCCGTATTTCGAAAAGTTCCCGTTTAAAAAAAATTTTAACAAGACAGGTTTGTTTTGCTATAACATATATATGACTCATATCATATATTGAATTTCTTCCGACGGACTATGTTCAGTGTTAACATTATATTGCATAAATTTGTGGTTTGAAAACAAAAAAAAGGTCCTTATGTAGTAAACAACATTGACAAAACCGGGTCCTTCCACTTTGACATGACCCATTTTTTTCGTTCCATACACAGAAATACAAATATTGAGGCGCTCAAAGTGAGAAGTCTTGCAATCGCCATGTTAATATCTTTCTTTCCGTACAATGTGCACAATTTAACGAAAAATTATACAAGGTTCTAATTCGAGGCAAAGTTCACTCAATTCACCATTTTTATGTGCTTTTTACTCATTTCTTCATTAATCTAGAACGGTTGTAGAAAATATTACATCTAACAATCGAAAATAGTTGTATTTGTATGTTTATTCTTCAATTTCAAAAAAATTATAAATAAATAAACAGAAATCATACCTGTTCTCTGGCTGTTGATGGTTGGTTGCCATACCAGATATTAGATACTATTGATTCCAAACATGTTTTGCCGGGGTAGTTTAGACACAGTGGTGTAGCTGTTTTGTTGATTTTCGTCCAACCTATTTCTACAAAGGCACGTTGTTGTATGGTGTGGTTCCGATCTGTTAGATTTTTTTTTACAAATATCATAAGCGTTCCGGAGCATGTGGTTAAAATGGAATGAAAATTGACAAAGAGTACATTATACAAAATTCGTTTTATAGCCAATAATTCATACAAAAATGAAAACATTAACTTTAACTCAAATTTTGATGGGTTCGTAATAACTACAAACGGTGATGAATGTCAAAAGCTGTATGAGCGTAATAATGGAGCGCTATTCTCGATGAACCTTCGTCAGTTACGGTCAAAACAAAACTACGAAACAAGCTGGCATTAAATATTCGACTTCCATATGACCATATATAGCTAATACCACCTAAGGTCAATTTGGCATGAGGGAGCCGGATGCTTAGTTTCCTAGTAGCTTATAAAATTCCTTAAAGAACAATTTAAGAAATGTAAGCTATAAATCATGTCAGTGTTGAAGCACTCACTGCTACAGAATAAGAGTAAGCCTTTACAATTTTGGTTCGTTTGCACCTCTTTTGTTAATTAACCTTCATAAGAAAAGCACAAAACCAAACTATGTGAAAGTCAAGGTTGTTTTAATATTTGAGGAGATATACTCATACTCTTGATACATTAAAACTGTGAAACTGATTCTGAATACAAATTTATGACATTTTGAAGTGGCATTTTTAGAGGTCCACATTTACAATATTTTTGCAATGTTGCAGTATCAAAGCACTTAATTCAAACAAATTGTCAAGAAGTTTTCATTTTTTCTTGTTATTTTAGCTTCTAGTCTTGTGGTTGTCCAATTACATTTTGATTATCGTTATTCTTACTGATTACTGCCTTATTTAGATATAAGAAGATGTGGTATGAGTGCCAATGAGACAACTCTCCATCCAAGTCACAATTTATAAAAGTAAACCATTATAGGTCAAAGTATGGCCTTCAACACGGAGCCTTGGCTCACACCGAACAGCAAGCTATAAAGGACCCCAAAAATGACTAGTGTAAAACCATTCAAACAGGAAACCAGTTTATTTGTTTACTTACTTATCAGTTGAAGAATATAATAATCGGGAACAGCAGGCATCTCAGAATCCTCGCAAAAGTAAAGACCTTCATCCAAAACGGAAGCATTACTAATCTGAAGTTCATAATCTCGTTCATAATCTCCTGTTTGTATTTTTCTTATGACTTTTAACCGATTGTGATGAGGCAGGGTAGGAGAAATAGATTTCCCTTCTGTATAACGATTAATTGTCCACAAACTACGATTTTCATACATATCAATCATTGTTGATTGATAAAACGAGTTAGAGTTCGCCGGTCCAAACCATTCCATATCATGTAAACATTTGAGTAACACTTTTGACCCTTCCGGATAGTATATATATCTCATTCTGGATGCGTCTGCAATATGTTTTTAGTGGTTAGTGAGTTTATGGAATACTGTTTTGTAATCATCTCGGGTTTTTGTACAGACATGCATACCTTTCTTTTATTAAAGATTCATTAACAATTATATGTAAAATTTCAATCATAAGTTTAACAACTGTCATACCAGTGGAAGGTATAGCTAGCTTTATGTGTAATACATGTACCACCAAATCATAGTACGTCACATCCGGTTGCATACGAAAAAGGGTCGAAAAAAAATATTCCCTTGAATTTGACAGTTGTAGGAAATTAATCCTACAATTCATTGCAAGAAAATATTTCTGAGTCATAAACATATATCTTGGGTGTTTCGAAGCACCATTCTTTTTTTTATTTGGTGTTTCTAAAGAAATATTGGGAAACTTGGGATTACATGGTTACTGAAGCTTGTACGCAGGAGTGTAAATTTGATTGGTTAACTTCCAGTAATGGTTTTTTTTTTGTTATATGCAATGAAATGTTATGTGAAATTTTGTCTGTAGTACTGGACAGGATAAACGTTTACTCATGCCAAGTATTTCTTTATTTGATACAAAGATAAATTCTGAACGATTGTTTGAAAAGTGCAAATTTAACAAAGACTAATAGGGGAAAACACAGTGGTGGTAAATGTAACACCAGGTTTAACCCACGACTTTCTTCGGAAAATGATGGTACTTAGTCAGAAATATGACAGTTGTTTTCAACTTACAAATATATTGAAATATAGCGAATAATTATTACAAAACAATATTGTCTATTCAATTGTTATTGATTAATAGTTTGACATCAAATTGACCAAAGTATTATATACAATAACAACCATAATCATGCACATTGTATCGAAGCTATATATGAATATATCATGTGTTGTTTACAATTGTTTATTTGAATACGTGTTTGTGTTGGGGGTTTTTGTGCTAATAAAATTTACATTGGTGACTGAAATACAGCGATATTTTTTAATGATAAAGGAATTAGATGGACAATTTCCTTTGATCCAGTTGCTTTTTTGTTTCGTTTTGTGAAGCTTTAACTTTTGCTTCTTTCTTTGCTTCATGACTCCCTGTGGATTTTCTGTATAATGACTGATTAGTCATGCTAGTTAAGGCTTTGTTTTGTTGATTTCTTCAAATCTATTTTCTTTGATGGCAAAATATGAGACGTTGTGATTTTATACTTTTTTTTATTTTTTAGTTTATATCCTGATATATTCAGCAGCTTGTGATAAAAGTGGAGTTCATCTTATCAATTTAAGGAGGACATTGTTTAAGTTTATTTGACAGCCAATAATTCATATTATTAAACAGAAAACATTTACTAGTCAAACAGTTGTCTTGTAGTCTTTGTAAGTTAAATCACGATTTTACGAAAAATACGTATATTACTACACGTACACGGAAATGAATGCAAAAAAGTTGCATGAGCGTAGTTATGAGCTTTATGCAAGGCCTCATTAGACAGAACACCACAAGAAATAAAAATTTATTTTATCCTAACACTTTATAGATTTAGTGCGTCAAAAGCGCTTTAGAGGAACCTTTATCAGGAAAGTTCAAAACAAATTACAAATGCCAAGGCCGCATTATATACTTGGGTATCTATATGGCAAAAAAATATCTAACACAATCGAAGGTTAGTTTTGCCTAAGTAGTTGGGTGATTAGGTTCTTTATAACTTCTAAAATTATAAACAAACCATTTTCATAAATTTGTGTCATGGATCATGTAAGTCGCGAAGCAATCACTGCTGGGTAAATTAATCTTTAATCTAATTGATAACTTCCTTATTTGTTTACTTACTTATCATTTTTAAAATATACCAATAACTCCTCCAGCAGAAGTAGAGACCTTCATCCAAAATTGAAGCGTTAATGATCTGGAGATCAAAATCGTCTGTTCGCATTCTTCTTATGACTTGTAACCTATTGCTATGAGACAAGGTAGGAATAATAAATTGTCCTTGTGAATATTCAGTTACATTCCACATTCTACGATGTCCAAACATATCAACTCCTGGCATTTTATTAGAGATTTTAGTGTGAGCTGGTCCAAACCATTCCGTCCATTCAAAATATGATAAACACTTGAGAAACACTGTCGAACCTTCCGAATAGTAAACATATCTAAACCTGGAAGCTTCTGCAATATAATTTTATTTGATAGTGACTTAATGGAATACTGTTTTCTCATTTTGTCTTTTTCTGTATACCTATTTTTTATAAAAGATTCTTAAAAAATCATATGTCAAACAGTCTTTCACGAGTGAAGGTATACTAACAAAACATTTTAATTTGATTTAGCGAATTGTGTAAACAATTCTGAATGTAATGAGTCCCTCCATAGTATAATGTAGGACGGACACAAGAAGGTAAAAAAACAAACAAAAATTATAAATTGAATATGAAAATTTTACCTGCTGAATACAACAATGCTTCAAAAATCATCCAACTTCTCAACGCACAAGTTGTCTTCATTCTTCAAGGAAATATAATTATGTATTTGTACAATTATATACAGAACAAACATGTAATACTGCTTTATCTTTAATTCTTATCAAATTAATCAGACTTCAAAGCTATTAGTTCACACAACATATGAGCTGCGTCGGATGGAAATCGACCTTATGCAAATGAATATGTAGGACTCTAAAGTTCGATGGTACTCTAAAGTGCAATGGTCACGCTAAAGTTCGATGGTCTACGCTAAAGTGCGATGGTGTCAGACGCTAAAGTGCGATGGTTGTTTGTTTTTTAAGTGTGATCAGATAACACGCTAAGTGCGATGGTATGACAAGCTAAAATACGATTGTATATAACACGCTTAAGTGTGATCGTATAACACGCTAAAGTGCAATGGTGTAATGGGAATCTGGTTCAAGCAATGGTTTTCATTTGTTGCTGAGTTGATTTTACTTTTTCGTTTATTGTTTTATATTTATCAAGCCGTAGTCTTTTTCTTTTGAATTATTTTACACTGGTCATATTATAACTCTATATAGCTTGTTATGCGGCATCGGCCAAGGCTTTACGTTGAAGGCCGTATGATTATTAGTTGCATACATTAACGGCATTTGTTGTTGGATGGATAGTTCATACTACATCTTATTTTTATTTAAAGTACGATAGTTGTCCCAAACGAGCAGTAGCTAGTATATCCGGTATACTGTATGAACCTGTCTGAAGCCATGAACCTGTGATTTAGTAGTTGTCGTTTGTTGTGTATTTCATAGTTGCTGTTCGTTTATTGTTTTGTATTTAAATCAGGTTGCTATTTGGTCGTTTGAATTGTTTTACACTGGTTGCTTTGAGGCCCTTTAGTCTTAATAGAATTCTATGCGGTGTAAGCCAATGCTCCGCGTTAAAGATCATGCGGTAACCTAAAGTTGCTTACATAAATGACATTTGGTCTTGGATAGAGAGTTTTCTTATTGGCAATCATATGATTATACTACAAATATGATCGTTAGGTTGCTGTCTAGTTGACGTTTATCAATTTTGTAACAGAAATAACAAACCATATTGTAAATTTTTTATAGAAATATTAAATTGGAAAGTAAAAAAGAAGACTTTTTAGGCACCCCAGCTGTTTTAATAAATTTCTTTTTACAAATTAAGTTAACCTCTTCCAGGAACAACAAAAAATGTTCCAGATTGTGATCATTTGTTTCTCTCTTCTTTCTTTTTTTGTGTAAGAAAACCTTATTCTGGACAAACATTCTCGTCATAATGCTGTTTAACGTTGATAACGTCCATACTTTCGCGCAAAAACACACTTTAGCGTGTTCAAATGAATTTACCTTTTTTTGTTTTGTGTCAAGAAAAACTCGCCCATGCCCCTGAGTGTTCTTGTTATTTTCTGAAAGCTAATTATAACAGCTATTTTCCCATATTTCATCTCTAATTTCTATGGTTTAGTTTTCTTACTATCACACAAAATATCAGTTTCCATACATAATCTTTACACAATCTGACAATTTTGCACAACTTGTAGCTTGAAAAGAAGCTCCGTGACACATACGTTATATATTTTTGAAAATATAAACTACATTTTGGCAAATTATAAAAACAATCTATGGATTTTTATTTCGACATCCCCCGTGACTTCCGGCTTCAAACAGTTTCGTTTCGTTTATTGATAAAGCTGAGCGTTTGATTTTGTTGTATTTTATAGACCTCCATTTTTTTTTATTTTCCTTAGAATTCGATATTTTTCACATGTTTTTGTTGATATTTTTTCTAAGCTTACCCTGATTCCAAATATATATTGTTATTATTTACTTTTTCCTAAACAAGTCAGATAATTTGCTATTTCTTGTATACACAAATTCCATTCCAGTGGCACGTGAGAGGTGAGACGAAACCGATTGAAAAAACTGTATTGCTTTATCATGTACCAGCGTGAAACTAAACTTAGAAAAAAAAATCTATACATTCAATGCAAAATAATTTTGTACCGATCTGATTAGTTAAGCAATTTTCAACCGATTTTTATAGTTTGTACTCATGTTGGGCTGTAACACCACGAGTTAGGGGAGGGTTGAGCGCTCACAAACATGTTTAACTGCGCCACATTTTATTATGTGCCTGTCCAAATTCAGGAGCTTGTAGTTCGTATTTGTGTTTCGAAAATAGTTTTGTTATCAATTAGGCCGTTAGTTTTCTCAATTGAATTGTTTCATAATTTTCATGTCGGGACCTTTAAAGGCCAAGTATACGGCATGGACTTTTCGCATTTTTGAAGGACGTACGGTTGCCTTTAGTTGCTAACATCCACTTTATTTGTGATTTTGGTGGATAGTTGGCTCATTCGTTAACATACCACATCTCCTTATTTTCATGTCTATTTTGAACCATAATGTCAAATTGTTTGCTCCATTTCTTTTTTTTTCTTATTTATTTGTTTTTTCATCTGTTACAGTTTCAGAGGATTAGCAAAACCAAAATCAGGTACAAAACGAAACGTTGAACTTTGACCTGATTCAAATCC